GAACCGGCGGGTTGCAAGTTCAGCCACCCCCCCCCGCCGTCTCCAGGCCTGCAGGTCTCTCTCTGTGGCAATTTGGCTGAGGGGAGCGTTCTGGTGCATCTGCCGCACGCCTTCCACCTGTCCACTACGGCGCAAACCTACGTTAGGAGGCGACTGCACATCTGCCCGATCATTCACCGACACTACGAAGAAAAAAAAAGGTTTTGAAGAAAACCACAGAGCTTTCACGTTCTTTTTAAGAATCCAACTCGGTGCCGGAGCTGATACCTCGGCGCGGTGTGTTTGGTGCTTGTGCCAGTGCAGGACCTTGGGCCTCAGCTTGGCGCTCTGCGCCCGCCTGAGGCCTGGGGTCACCCCGACGGTCCTGCTGCTGCTGGAGTTGTCTGATGGCCTCGTCCAGGAGGCTGCTGCGTCTAATGGTCACCTCCTCGTGCTCGGCCGTCTGCTGGCTGATCACCTGCTCCACGACCTCACCATCACCTGGAGTCAACACAAGTTTGTTTTTGTCAGATATTCCAGACCAGGCTGCTGGGAAAACCCTCGCAGTTAGGAACGGTAATTTGAACGTTTAGCCAGATTAAAGCTTTACTGGTGGCGACGTAGCCGATCTGAGGAACCAGGTGTTCAGCAGCGATGTTCTCCCGGCCTGGAACCAGACGCTGGTACCTGTGACAAAAACAAAAAACAGCCAAATTAACCACTGGTTTCTTCGTCAGATTTACTGTAATCCCTGAAGTCAAAGCTACCTGGGAGGATGAGGGTTTCCATCCACATCTACCAAGAAGGGAGGGGGCATGAGATGTGGCGCCTGCTGAGTCTGCTCGTCTAACACAAAACCGTTACCATCTCTGATCAGAGGTCTGTAGTCAGTGTGGAAAAACACCTGGTCTGGAAGCTGAAGGAAGAGAAGAAGAATTATCACCACCACGGTGAAGTCAGTCGGACGAGCACAGACACAGAAACAGGTGATGTGGTCGCACACAGTCTTAGAACAGAAGAGGAAATGTTTTAAAACCATCTGTAATATATATATATACCCACAATCCACAGCAGCAGTCAGTTATCAATGTGTTTTTTTATCTGTTTTTTTCAAATGTCTTCACCTTCTCGTAGGGTTTCGAGCTGCCGAAGCCAAAGATGAGCAGGTGACCGTGGGAGTCGGTGCAGGCGAAGCGTTGGCCGTCTGGTGTAAACTTGCAGTCAAACACTGCACCGTGACCTTGGCCTTCGATCTGGATAAAAGAACGACACGTTACAGACGTACAGACTCTAAAAAACCTTCGGTTGTTTTGTGTGCGATGGTGCTCAGCTCACCATGTTGAAGTAGTGCTGTGTGTTTGTCCCACGCTGCAGATCCCAGATGAACACGTTTCCATCGTGGCCAGCAGACAGGATGATCCTGGGGTCAAAGGGATGAGGTTCCAGCACAAACACCTCGGCCTCGTGACCCTGGGAATATTATCATCATGAATTATTTGTTGATCTGAACACGTTGTCATTGTTCCTCAGACAAACTAACGTGGTGCAGCCTTACTTTGAGGATGTGAAGCAGCTGCCCCGTGTAGGAGTTCCACACTTTGAGGAGATGGTTGTTCACCGCCGTGATGACTGTGTTGTCGTGGCGATCCCATGCTACCATCGTGACTTTGGGTTTGAAGTAGCTCTCCTCTTCAGTCAAAGCTTCGGCGCTGAGAGAAATAATACAAATGTTACTACAGGCATGTTCACGTTAGGGTGTGTTCTCTTTTTCAGTTTTTTTTTTTTCAGAGCATTCACAAACTGTTTACAGATCTTATAAACTATTGTAAAAGTAACATCCAAAAAATCCAAAGTAACTGAAATAACTCTTAAATAAGTCTCAAATAACTTCATGTAAATTTAAGGATCATCTGGATTCAACCATTTCCTAAATTATGTATAGTTAGAGCCCGAGCATTGATGACTGGATGTGATTTACTGTAGCTTCTAAAGTTCATATTCCAATATTTCCTGTGAACCAAACGACTCGGCCAGATCAGGTCTAACACTGAAAGCCTCCTCCTCACCCTGGCAGAGTGGCAGACATGTTGAGCAGGATGCACCTCCACTGCTGTCGGTGACACAGCTTCCAGACGCGAGCCGTACCATCTCGACTTCCACTCACGAACCTGAGACAGTGATCGTCACATTTGATTCCCGTTCATTTTGAGTAAAGCACAGTGATAATGAAGGACTGACGTTAAACCTGTCCTACCTTTCACCTGAGTGGCAAAACTGGATGCTGTCAACTTTGTCCTGCACAGAAAAACACCAGAGGGAACGTGAGCGTTGTCCGTCAGAGGAATATTAACATTAACAATATTAACAAGAGTTCATACCGTGTGCTTATGGAGCTCTGCTATCTTCTCCGGACTCCCACTTCCCAGATAGTATATCCTGATGACATCATCTGTGCTTCCTGTTGCTAGGAATATACCACCTGTAAAACCATACAAAAACAATTGGACTACTTCTCCAAAAACTATAAAATACATTTAAGAAATTGGCTTCTATAAAACACACACAGACCAGGGTGTAAAACTGTACAGCTTTGGTAACAACCTTTTAGCCCACAACACATTTTATATCAAAGTCATTTTTAATGTTTTGGTAACAACCTTTTAGCCCACAACATATTTTTAATGAGAATTATATCAAAGTCATTTTTAATGTTAACGTAAAGTTTAATAAATAGCTTGAACTACATTGATCCGTGCTACATTTTAGCCAGTAAATATTCAGCTTATAGTCGTTGAAGTTGCAGAGAATTCCTTGTTTGCCGTTGAACAACTTTAACTCCAGCTTTTTAAATACACAGTCACTACGGACAAAACATTCCCTACAAACAAATGACAAATGACCCCCAGCCTCATGAGAATTCAAGTGAAATGCTAAATTACCTGGACTGAATGAGGAGCAAACGGTCTGAACGCCCGGCCGCGGTCGCTCCGTGAATTTGTGTGGACGATCACTTTTAGGAAAAAAAGAAAAACACCAGAGGAAGTTACAAAGAGGAACTGCAGAAAAACTCATTTGACTTTATATTAACACCACTGACCTGAAGTTGATGTTGTTGACGTCCCACTGCCAGAAGCAGACGGTGGCATCAGTTCCAGTGGACAGCATGTAACGCTTGGAGCCCTTGGCAAACGGTGAGAACTGCAAAATGGAAAAAAAAAAAAGTATTTTCTTATTTTAGATGTTTCATTTTGAGGCATACTCTTTGTGCCAAAGATTAAAACATTTTTTTTATTTCAGTAAGACAGACCTGGAGGGAGGTAATGGATCCACTGTGTCCCTGCAGCACAGCCACGGGGGCACAGGTACGAAGGCACCAAACACGTATGATTTTGTCACAACTCCCTGCAGCAATTAGCGTGTTTTCGTAATTAACTGCCAGGTCTGTGATTTCAGCAGAGTGTCCTCGTAATGTGGAATGAAGTCTTCCGTCAATCGAAGACCAAATCTTGACCAAACAGTCATCTGAGCCCTGCAAGACAGAAATAAAACCTGATGGAAAACCGCGCTACCTCAACACTGTTCAAGGTGTGATCTATTTAAAGGAGCGCGTCTCACTGTGAAGATCCTGAGACCGGTGCGATCAAATGCAATACAGTACACTGCAGACAGGTGGCCAAGGATCCGCCTGTGCAGACGCATGCGCTCATAGTTGCTGACAGGATTGATGGAGCTGAAGCGCTGCACTCCTGTCAACTCTCTGCCTCTCTGCACCTTCACTGTTGATGAAGAAAAAAAAAAGGGAGAATCAAGAAATGACAAGTGCAGTAAAAAATGATCTTTGATAATCGACAACAGCATCAAATCAAACCAGGCGTGTGTTTGGTTTTTGGTGGGGATTAGCACTGATATTGTGCAGATCTTGGCAGTGAATTCAAGTGATATGAACACCATCAGTTTAACATGAAACTGCTGTGGTCAATTTGAAACAAACATGTTAAAAACAACAATAATCCCAGTGCTGTGAAGTCACGTCCATCTGGTTTGTATCTGTTACTATGGGGAAAACCAAAATATCGGAGAAACATGGCAACCGTCCACGATGCTTTTCTCCTCTGGAAGGTCCTGCTTCAAACTTTCAAGACTGTAATGTAGACATTTTGTGGACTGTGTTTTCTTAAGTGCTGCTTTCTTCGCCCTTTTTATTAAACATTATTTTAAGGAATAAAGAAAAGAAATGTGGAGAGAAATGTTCAAACGAAAAGAACACAAACTAGAAAAGTGTGAAGATCCTCAAGAATTTGATTAAGAAAAAAAAAAAATTTTACTAAATCCTTGAGTAAATACTGATTCCTGCCAACAGGTGTCAAGAACAAAAACAGCACAGAGCTCAAGGTTAAAGCCTTCAGTCACTGCATTCACTGCACCAACAAATGATTACTAATGAACACAGACCATCAGACAAACGAGAAACACACACACACACACAGACACACACAGACACAGTGAGTGAAAAATATGTATGTTCTGTGTTGAATGAATGTCACATATTCAATCACTGATTAAATATATATTTTCTGAACACATGCATGAGGCTGACGGCAGGAGAGAAGAGAAGTACCGAGGTGTGGAGGTTTCTTGCAGTTCAAAGGCCTCTCTGGTGGTCTGCCCCTGTGCAGGGCTGCATATGATGAAGATTTAAACCGCACACGTTCGCAGTCTGCAGGACATCAAACAGATAACTGGGTTATTCAGTGTCTGCTGTTACAATTATTACAAACATCTGTAGTCGGACCATGAACCAAATACAACATACGAGGTCCTGCAGAAGAGCAGGTTGAAAGTTTACCTTTTGGAGTTCTGAGCATCGACTGCCGCCCCAGCCCCAGGAGGGAGTGGACGCCTGGGACACATGACGGCACCTCTCTGTCAAGAAGTGGCCCGACCTGCTTACAGATCTGCAGCAAGTGATCTGGTGCAACGTGTGTGTTGGCTGCGACCTGTTAACACAAGGTCATCAGGGTCATTGACAGTCGTATATATGGATCCACAGACACAATACGCACAAGAAGTAGCTCAACTGTGTATAATATTTATGTTGCTTCTTGTTTTATGTCTTTGTTTTCAAGGGTCTCTGTCAGAACACGGACTCAAACCAACCAGCGACACTCAAACCTTCGGAGCCCTGACTAATTTGGGAAACCCACCTCCACCTCCCGCTCTCCCATCTTCTCACTTTTGAGCTTCATTTATCCAATATTAATATTTATCCAGCAGCCTTGTTTTGCACCTTTTACTGTTTGCTCTGCACAAAAGGTTCTTTTCAGCTGCTCTAGTTCTCTTAAAAATGTTTTTTTTAAAAAAACATCACTGAGACATTACTTCAATATTGAATCACATAATGATGACTCATGACTGAACATGGTAGAAAGACAACTGCACAAACTCTTTTCTTCAAAGTCCCAAAACCTGATGTTTGCGGCGTTGAGGTGGACGGATGTTATTGAAACTGACTTCCACGGCGGAAATAATTAAGTGTAAATTAGAGCGCCTCTGTGGTGAAGTCAGGTAGAACAGCAGACATCTCCAAGACTGACTCGCAAATTGGAAAAATGGCATAAAAGAAACAGAAAAGGCGAAGTTGATGCCATCTCTGAACCTAAGCCCTCATTAAGATGACACTGCAGCACCAACAAACACCTCCAGAACATTCTGCCCCTTCACATGCCTCCAACCCATCCCCTCCAGTGAGGAGGTTCAGTGGAGAATCAGCTGTCTATCACTATCCAACCAAAGGAAAGAACTGAAGACAAATTAAAAGGCAGAGGTAGCGATGAATCATGAAAAACCAGATGGAACACAAAGAAAATAATAATAATAATAACAATATTTTATTAGTTCTTTTGGTGCATTTTTTTAAATATATATTTCTCTGTAGTTCTGTTGGCAGGTGTGTGTGTCTTGGACCTGCAGTGGTCTGACAGCCTGTCTGCTACTGAGAGACTCTTCTCAACTCCTCCTCGATGGGCGTGGTTTTCTGTACCAAGTAGTCTTATGACAGACCAATGAACGCGCAGGACACAAGACCAACAACACGGAGACAGCGCATCGCGGCTTCTGATTGGCCAGCACCGCCGACTCTACGTCGAGCGCAGCCAAACTATCCACCCTATCTGCAGTACAGTCACAGCGAAATAGTATTAAACTCTACGCTTAATAAAAACGGGTTTTTTGACAGATCACCTCAGAGTATTTCATTTAAAAATAACCACCAACACCGGGCAGTTAAGACCTGACCCGTCTGATAAAGTCTACAGCACAGCAGCGGTGGCGCAACAGCAGCGACAGGCGACAGAACAAAGACCGTAAACAAGTGTACAGCACGCACACGGGCTTCAGTCACAGGACAATAACAACACACATGAAGTTAAACCTCACCACTTCTTCGTATGTTCTCGGGTGTTCTTTTCCCAGCCAGTCCAGTCTCCCGGGCAGGAGCTGTCGAAGACAGAGGTTTTTAAGTGAGTGAATCAGGGGCAGAAATCATACGAGCAGGTTCGCAGACGGAGCCAGTGAACCAGCCGGGTGATGTCAAACGAGGGGGACGAACGGATGCAATTTCAAAGTCGACAAAAGTGCGACAAGTTTTATGTTCACACCCGGTAAGCGCTCACGGCGAGCGGCTAACCGACAACAAACGACAAAGACAGCTGCGGTACACACCTGGTTCTCCTCCAGCTCCGACACCAGGACCTGCGGTGGACACAAAAAAACGTTGAATTCAAATTAATCGGCATCAATTAACAAGGTCTGCTCTGATTAGGCTGCTCGTCGACTGTGTGTGAAAGACAACAACAGTGTGGCAGCTCGAGCACGCCAGCTCACCTCAGCCGCTCTCCGACATGGACCCGTGGTTAGAAAACGAGAGATCAAGTAATAGAGCTCTGGAATTGGAAAAGGAAGTCGGTTAACAGTGAGACAAAATGTCACAATTAACGCAAACCGTGTGCGTGTAAACGCTACCAGTTAGTTCTACTCACCCGACTCAAGGAGCGAAGTGTTCCGATTCTTGGCCATTGAATCGGCCTCGATTCTGGAGGTGATAAATAATGTTTTATTGCGCTCTAAGTTCACCGCTACAGAGGATTCGGATATATTTATTTAATTTCCGTCCCGCAGCTCTGACCCCTCCACGGTTGCTCCCGCTTTCTATTGAGCCTGTTTGCAGTCGCCATTGGAAGGATGAG